TGTATAACAAAAACTCGCGCATCGCGCGGATCTTCTTCTAGTCAAAATTAATACACAAAGAAAAAGCTCTTTAGATAATATCTAGCCAAAGGTTAACCGAAAGAAAGAAGAACTATTTTGATAGAAAAAACAAACAATGTTTAATGTCCAATTCAATTTAAATATTTTAACTGGTATAGAGTAACAAAGAATTTATTGAATAAAACAATAATTATTACTTGAATACCGTTCACAACAGGCATGTCCATGTCCATGAGAATGAGATCATAGTTTCTGCCAGAACAATGAACATCGACGGCTTCTTTACCATTAGAAACGACATCGTTTTTAATCCCTAAACGATCCAGTATTTTGTGATGTATGCTTTGGTTTACGAAATCGTCATCGACCACCAAAGCAGTTAACATTGACTCTGCCAAATTTGGAATTTCATTAACTATTTCTCTCGTCATTTTTTTTTTTTTGGGTGAAATTATAATTCTGAAAAAGATTATTTGTTAAAACTCAGAATTTTGCATTCTCTATTTAAAGAGAAATCATTGTAAAAGGATCATCTATTATAGAAATTAAATAAAAAGTACTACCAAATGGATTGCATTTTGGATTCTGAGAGATTATATTATTATTTTTTACTCTCCTTTTTGGACAATAAATCTTTGTCGTTGTTTTTTCGTAGATGAATTTAATTTCATGAGATTGGCCGAGATCCTTTAATTCATCATTATATTAAGGGGTTAGATTTAGATCAATCACTAATGATCTCTTGAGATTTTAATTAGCCAAATCATACATATAACAACACCATATGAGCAAGAGATATGAATAGCAAATAATCATATGAAGTTCTTTATATAGATTTTTTGTTTTGACGTGTTATTTATATAGATGTTTTGCCAATATGAGACTTGTATAATACATTTATATTTAAAAAGAAATATTATTCTTTATTGAAGTTTGGTAGTTAAATTTTTTTTTCGAATTGTACATTTATCATCAACTAAAAGAAGTTGTTCCAAAAAAAAAAATCAACTAAAAGAAAGCGAATCTAGAAGCTCAAAGATTGTCAAATATCAACCTATCTATTTAAAATTTATGTATAAAACAAAGTGACACAATGATATGAAAAAAATCTAAAGTGACACAATGATATCGAGAAAACTATACATATTACTTCTCTCCAGAGATATATCTGAGTATAGATTATTGTTGGTTTGGCTCAGATAAATCTGAATGGGCCTGAGATTGGGCCAAACGCTAGACAAAAGAATAAACAAGAAAGCATAGCTGAGTAAATGATTGAAGTCCAAAACCAAACTTATCAATATAACAGCGTTTAGAATTTTGTTGTAGAGTAGTTGAAGATAAGAAGCAGAGCTAGATTACCTCAACATCATTTGACAATAATAATCACATATATAGAGAGAAGTTGAAACAAACAAAGACAGAGTTTGAAGCAAGAGAGTTAATCTTCAAGCATTTCTGTGTTTTTCTTCGATTCCATAAGCTTGTTTCTCTTAAGTGTTATTGTCATCTTGTTCTTTTTAAGCTTCCTTCTAAACCCTAGAATATGTGTGTATATTTCTCTTGATTAGTGGACTTTGGAAGGATTGGTTTCCACAAGATGTACAAGTGTATTATGATAACTCGTTAAATATGATGTGTCGTTCGCTATCTCACTACAAAAAAACAGACATTTAGCGTCAGCGTAATTCGACGCTAAAAGCCRTTAGCYTCGAATTAGCGTCYAAAATTATTTCGACGCAAAACCCTCGACGCTAATTAATTTTCGACGCTAAATCGACGCTAATTTTGCGTCGAAACTGATTACGACGCTAATTCGACGCTAATTAGCATCGATTTAGCGTCACATTGTTTCGATGCAACAGATCGACGCTAATTCGATGCTATTTAGCATCGAATTAGCGTCACAATTTTTCGATGCAACAAATCGACGCTAAATC